TGTTTGAAATTCAGTTTGATATTAACATAGCCACAGCAGCTTTCTTTTGGTTAGTGTCCGTATATCTTTTTACATCTTTCACTTTTCACCCTTCTGTATCCTTGCATTTTATGTCTCTCTCATTTATAATTGGATTGTTATCTGACAATGTTTGTCTTTTATTGGAGGATTTCGCCTATTTACATTTAATGCAATTTCCTATCCATTTGGCTTTAAACTTACTGACGCACTGTTTTTCCTGTATGCCACTTTTTTTGTTTTCTCTTTCTTGCTTTATTTTGGGTCAAGTACTGTTTTTTTTTTATTCTATTTTATTCCATAAGCATATAGTAATATACTTTTACAAGTCTTTTAGTAGTAGTTACTCTAAATATTACAACATGCAACTCTGAATATTCAAGTCTAAAATAAAAACTACAGCTTAACATTTCCTCAGACATAAAGGATCTTAAAATACTTTTCCATTTATCTCCCTCCCAACTTAAATGCTATTGTTTTCACGTACTTTAGTCCTGTTTTCTTAAATCGTCAAGACATTATTTTTGTTTTAAAATCACCATTCATTTAACCCACATATTTATCCTTTTCGTTGTTCATTTGTTCTTGCACCTCCAAGCTCCCATCTGGTATCATTCTCCTTCTGCTCAGACAACATAATTTTTGTGGTTTGTTAGGGAAAAAAAATTCTCATTTTGTGTGTGAAGATTTTCTTTTTTTAAAAAAAAAAAGATTTGCACCTGGGGGCTGGCCCCGTGGCTGAATCCCACGCGCTCCGCTGCAGGCAGCCCAGTGTTTCGTTGGTTTGAATCCTGGGCGCCAACATGGCACTGCTCATCAAACCACGCTGAGGCAGCATCCCACATGCCACAACTAGAAGGACCCACAACGAAGAAAATACAACTATGTACTGGGGGGCTTTGGGGAGAAAAAGGAAAAAAAATAAAATCTCTAAAAAAATAAAAAAGATTTGCACCTGAGCTAACAACTGTTGCAAATCTTCTTTCTTCTTTTTCTGCTTTACCTTCCCAAACCTCCCCCCCACCCCGTACACAGTTGTATATCTTAGTTTCAGGTCCTTCTAGTTGTGGGATGTGGGATGCCGCCTCAGTGTGGTCTGACCAGCGGTGGCATGTCCACGCCCAGGATCCGAACCCTGGGCTGCCACAGCAGAGCACGTGAACTTAACCACTCGGCCACAGAGCCAGCCCCTGAAGGTTTTCTTAATTTTACCTATTGCACCTTATTTAGGACATTTTGCTTTGTATAGGATTCTAGGTTGGCAGTTATTTTCTTCCATCACTTTGAAAATGCCATTCTGTTTTCTCATTCCCACTGTTTTTATTAAGTAGTTGATTGCCACATTTTTGGTCCTTTGAAATATGCCTTCTTTCTTTCACTGCTCTAGATTTTTTAAGTTTTCAGTGGTATTGGTAATATTTGCATAAGTATGATTTTCTCTTAATATATTTTGCTTGAGGTTTGTGGGACCTCTGAAACCTGTAGCTTGATGATTTTCATAAATTTTAGAAATTTCTTAAGCATTAACGCCAAATATTCTCTATTTCTTCTCTAAAACTACAGTCACATTAATGTTAGCCCTTCTCTGTTACATGGTTTTCAGGTTCTTTTCCATCCTTTTGTCTCTATACATCTTTCTGCACTTTTTCTTCTGGCCAAACTTAATTATTTCTTCAGCTGTTTTCCATCTGGTGTTAAACTCATTCACTGAATTCTTAATTTTAGTTATTCTTTATTTCTAGTTTTTTAAATTCCTAATTCCCTACTGAAATTTTCAACCCTTTTGTTTTTTCTCTTGAGCATCTTACATAGGTAATTTTACATCTATGCATGTCTTGAGCGTTTCATGTAGTGCCTGCTAACTCCAGAAGTGTGGACACTTACCCACCCAGTCATAAGCAGTGCTGGACCAGAGCAGAAGGCAATACAGGAAAGATTTACAGAATGGAGGAGCAAAGAACATGTACTCTCTGAAAGTAGATTCATTCCTAAGAGGAAGAGAAAGCTCATCTCATTATACCCATTTTTCCTTCCCATTTGCTTCTGCCAGGTACCCTTAGGATCATTTTTTTTTTTTTTCCTGAGGAAGATTAGCCCTGAGCTAACTCTGCCAATCCTCCTTTTTTTGCTGAGGAAGACTGGCCCTGAGCTAAGCATCCGTGCCCATCTTCCCCTACTTTATATGTGGGACGCCTACCACAGCACGGCTTGCCATGTGGTGCCATGTCTGCACCCAGGATCTGAACCGATGAACCCCAGGCTGCCGAAGTGGAACATGTGCACTTAACTGCTGTGCCACCGGGCTAGCTCCACTTTTAGGATCATTTTTATGTTAAAATATCAATTGGAGATTATCATGCAGGTAACTTAAGTGACCACTTAGCCCCACATAAGAGCAGACCTATGGCTACAAATTCTCAGGGAAAACGTGCCCCCCGCCAACTAGAATCTAGGCCAACTCAGCCAAGTTTTCATGTAGACTCCCTTTGCTATCAGGCAGATTTTTCTAATCTACCCCTTCACTGTAGAGGATAGCTCTCTGAGGTGCTATGTATGCAGAGGTTTCAGGGCTTTAAGTATCATGCTATTGTAACAGATTATAAGAAATCACTAAAGGATATGAAGTAAGGAAATAAAGATGATCAGATTTGATGATTCATTTATAATATCAATAAACACTTACTGGAATTAAAGGTAAATCACTCAGCCATAACCTCAAGCAGCTTATATTCCATTAGAGCAATGGTTCTCATCCAAGGGCAGTTTTGTCCCACAGGGACTATTTTGCTATGTCTGGAAAGGTTTTGGTTGTCACAACTGGAAGGATGCTACTGGCATCTAATGGGTAGAGGCCAAGGATGCTGCTCAATGTCCTACAATGCACAGGACAGCTCCCTACAACAAAGAATTATTCTGCCCAAAATGTAGCAGTAGAGTAAGAATTAGAGAAGCAAATAAATACAACAAAACATACATATTAGTTTGTATAGTGTACAAGAGGGCATGAAAGTGGGCGATGGAATTCATGGAACACTTCAATAGGCACCTTAAACTTAAGCTAAGTTGGAAATATGAATGAATTTAGGAGGCAGGTGGATCACTATGAGCTTAAATATGAAAGCATGAGGTGTATTCTCTTACATGTTTGGGGAACCACAAATAATTTGGTATGACTAAAACTTAGAGGCAGATTAGGTAGGTGGAGAATAATGGGAAAAGATGAGGCTGAAAAGGAAGGCAAGAGCCAGATCACAAAAGGACTGACAGACTAGATGAAGAGCTTGGACTTCACTCCGTATGTAGGGGGTAGGAGAAAGATGATATGAAAACTTAACCAAGAGAAAACAAGAAATTTATTCTAGAAAGATCATTCAGGTAGAATTCTGGGAAAAGACTTGAGGGCAAAATAAGGAACAGACTAATTAGTAAACCTACTGGAATAATCCAGGCCAGAGAAGACCAGAGCCAGAATCACAGCACTAATTTAGAAGGATGGACTGATAAGGCAAAGTACTATACCCAGTCGTTAGTGACCGAATATGAAGAGAAAATAAGGTCTCATCTCACCTTTCAAGCACTACTTACAGAGATAGAGTATAGGAAGAGAATATTTAGAAGAAAGATAATGCTATCTCATTTAGATCTCTTGTAATAAAACAGCTATGCAAGTATATAGATTTTACTATTAGAGCATTTGGCAGCAAAATCTGCGTCGTGCCTTGAACTCTATCATCCTTCAACCAACAATGGCAAAAGATTTTTAAAATATTTTTCTACTACATGTCTTTTTTTTTTTTTTTTTTTGCTTTTTCTCCCCAAATCCCCCCAGTACATAGTTGTATATTTTAGTTATGCATCCTTCTAGTTGTGGCAAGTGGGCTGCTGCCACAACATGGCCTGATGAGCGGTGCCATGTCCGTGCCCAGGATCCGAACCAGCAAAACCCTGGGCCACCGAAGCAGAGCACATGAACTTAACCACTAGGCCATGAGGCCGGCCCCTGTATCATATTTTTATATAGGTATTTATCTTACTCCCAGGTATTTTTCTATTACATTAACTAAAACAAAACACAATGTCTTCATTTTATTATTTAAGCATTTGTTGAATGTTTTAAAATTCAAGACAGTATAATGTTTTATTTTTTATGCTTTTTATTTTTGGCTGAGGAAGATTCACTCTGAGCTAACATCCACGGCCAATCTTCCTCTTTTTGTATGTGAGCCACCACCCCAGCAGGGCCACTGACAGACAAGTGGTGTAGGTCACACCTGGGAACCAAAATTGGGCCGCCAAAGCAGAGTGTGCCAAATTTAACCACTAGGCCACCAGGGCAGGACCCTAATTTAAATTTTTTTAGAGACAAAAGATTATTAAAAACAACTTTACCTTTCAAACGTGACTTTTTGACAGCAAAGTAGAACTGTGGTAACAGTCTCCCTTAAAAAATAAAATAAGCACTTACAATAAAACTAAAGGGAGGCTTACCTATAGAGCTAATTCAGAAAAGGGGAAAACATCTAAAGAAATGGGTAAATACCTTATTTAATCCAAAAAAATTAAATACTTATTGGATCTTATTAATGAAGCTTTCAATATGCTATTTAAAATAAATTATCCTTGAAAATAAAGTTTCAATTACATTGAATGTAATCTCTGAAATGGTATCTAGTTAACGTAATATTTGCCTTAAAAATACCAGACAAATATTTACAACCAATAAAATAAAAACTAACAAAATAATCTGCATCTGAAAGCCTGATATTCTGATCCACTGGATTTACATTTTCCTAAGTATAATAATATAAACAAATCTTTTTGGGTACTCAACATATTAAAAGTACAACTACCTATTTATAGTCGTTAACTTTCAACAATATGACTCATCAGTAAACAAGATAGCACTTTAGCAATCATCTTATGTGAAATGACAAGTGGAAAACAAATTTCCCAGTAACAATGAGGCACCAAATTCTTTCATCTAAGTTACCATAAAAAATTAATTTATTAAAAAACCTAAACAAATATGATTAAACACTTTTAAATCAAACTGAAATAAGCTATGAAAAGAAGTTTACAAAAGAAAGTTTCGCAAATAAAAGGATAAATTTAAGTCTAAATATTTCCTCTTTTATTGTTTTCTAATACTATTTTGTAAATTATTTATTCAATCGCTTCTTTAGGTTCTCAAGGTGTTCCATATTAACATCTTGTAATGCCAGTACCATTGCTTTAGACAAGGAGGGATTAAATGAAATAGTCATTAGACAGCACAAATCTATTAGATCTCTCTGGCATTTCTGCAAACCTTCCAGGAACTTTTGGTACTGAAGAGGATCTTTTTTTAACTTTTTCATTTCTGGTACTGAATACCCTATCAGACTAGTAAGTATTTCATCTACAAAATCTACATCTAGATATGCTGTACCATCAGAAATCTTTGCTGTTATACTCCAAATACCACCAGAAGCTGAGAGATTTCCAGTTAAGGTTACAATAAATGCTTTGACTTTCACTGTTATAACTTCCTTTGGTTTGCTGGCCATTAGAACAGACAAATAGATAAAAGGTGGAGAATACAAATCCATGGTGATGGAAAGATTAGTGCTATTCTCTGATGATCTTAAAGAATGAGTCTGTAAATGGCGATCATTTTCATCAGAAATTTGTGAACTCCTTTTTGGTACATAAGTGACCAGCTCTCCATTTAATATTTTATTATTTAAGGAATGTCCATCTGAATTGCTGATGCTTTGCTTTACTTTATCATCTATCTCTGAGTTCTTATCTTTATTTGTAAAATCTTGGGGTAGGGCTACATTACGTTGAACTGAAAAAACACTACTGTTTTGGTCTCTAGCAGATGGACAAATAAAAGACTTGTCTTCATTGGTCATTTGTTCAGATGAATTTTTTTCATTCCAATTATTGTTTCCATTTTTGCAAATCAAAGAAAAATTATCCAGAGTTTTAGATTTATGTGAAAATCTCTCTATAGTTTCATCCATGGTTCTGTCCAAAGTCAATGGCTGCAATTCTTTAGTCTCCATTTGTTCTTTCTGGACAGTTTCTTCCAAAAGCAAGGCCTCCTCCAAAGAAAAGTCATCTAATTCCCCATCAGAGAAATGCATAGATTGATTTGGTGATTTCTCCTTTGGTCTTGGAGAAATAACAAGTCCTGGTTCAAAACTTGATTGTCTTATGGGAACAGTATTTGAGGAACTACCTGTGCTGAAACATATTCTTTCTAAGGAGGTGTCATTATTTGCTGCAAGCTCATCACTTTCATCAAGACTTGCCAGGAGTTCTTCATCAGAAGGTCCTAAAGCAGGATCTAGAACATCTGTAATTCTGGGGATGCTTTGGTTAGAATTATTTGGTATAGCTGAAGCTACAGGATCAGGTTCCCCAATTAATCTTGCAAGTAGTTTTTCTTGGGCATATTCCTCTAAAAGAGAATCTACTTCTCCCCCTAACACCTTCACATTTTCTGGTTTCAATAAGAGAACACCAAGACGGAAAGAAATGTTCCCATGAATCAAAATTTTTGTACCTGGAGGAAGATCACTATAAAGAGCTGGAATAGACTGATATTCCATTCCCTGCATTTGTACAACCCCATCAGTTAGCTGTAGCATCAACATTCGTGAAGGCTTTGCTTCCCAAGGTTTTTGGGTTACTTGTGTTTCAGCTGTAATTAGATCATTTGTTGTATTCTTGCCTCTTAACTTTTGTATCTGGGAATATGCAGGTTGACCTACATCAACCAATGAATTAATCTGCAGAGCAAAAAATCCATTCAGTTCTCCTTTTGGAACTTCTAAAATGCCATCAGGCAAAAGAGGATGCTCCAAATCTCTCAGATCCGTAAGAAGCCATTGCTCAAACACTTGTTTATTCACTTGTGCCTGACTCAAATTAACATTATCATTTTCTTCTTGGATCCAGTTAATACAAGCTTCCAGCCACCTTAGAGGTACTTTAACATGCCATGTAGCTAAAAGCCAGGTTTCAACTCTTAAAGCAATACTAGTTATATTCATTTCTTTTAAATAAAAAAAAATCATGCATGTATTACCTGAAAAGAAAAAAAAAATGATAATTCAGCACATTTAAGTATAGTTTCTCTGTCTATAATACATAAACAGGCATAACCACATCCTTTCAATTTTTCTCTCTTCAGCATCTTAAAATTCTTTGACTTTCCACATGGCCAAAATCCAAATATCACAAGTAACTAGATGGTATAATGAGAAAAAAACAAAAGGTTTAAGAGAGAGATACCTAAGTCTGAAAGCTAGCTCCGTCAAATTACAAGCTCTGTAATATAAATTTCTTAACTTCTCTAATCCAGTTTTTTTCACGTATAAAATATCAATACCATCATCTATCCTACAAGGTTGTTGTGAGGATTATATAATTAACATTTGTAAAGTATAATGTCAGAACTATGAAAGACACACAGTAAACAATAATTATTATATTAATAATCAGATACTAATTATTTAAAATTTAGTTAAGAAAATATTCACCAGGTGCTTTTCATATCTATAACATACTCTATTAAAATTTATACCATTGTGTTTTTTGGACATTTGGCACTTAAACACGTGGTCTAAGAATAAAATTATAATAACAATAGATTCTGAGCTGATGTAAAGCATCTTATTGTTTGGCTAAATAATTCTCGACAGTCGTATCAGGTAAATATACTACTTCTGATTTTCTCAGTACGATAAAACAGCAGCAAAACACTAAAGACTAATTAATGTTGTCTTCACAACAGGGTATTTTTTCCTTCTACAGATGAAGATATGTAAGAATTAGAATTTACAAAAGTTTTAATATGTCCATAACAAACTTACCATTTGGAACAGGCACATAGGGTACGATGACAGGATTTGGAACTGTTTGTTCAGTGGAATGTTTGTAACCTCTACTGCTCAGAAATGGCCCTGGAAGCTAAGACAAGAAGCAGTAAGGGTTTTAAGACGAAGCTGCAGAAAGAATCACTGGCCTACTTTCCTGAGTGAAAGAGTTTGATACTATGGTTTTTGGGGTTCCTGTTATCAATCAGAGTAGAGTGGAGATAAAACAGAATAAAAACACAAGGTTTGAAGTAAGATAAATAGAAGCAAGTGACCATGAGAAATTTACACACTCTCTCTAAGCTTGTTTCCTTGTCTACATACTTACTTCATGGGGCTACTGTCAAAAATCAAAGGTGACAGGAGAGGACAGTGGGCAGGGCACAGGCACAGGCTCAGATCTTGGGCAGCTGGGTCAGCTGACCCCAAGGGGCAGTCCAGCCCATTCAGGCTGCTAACCCTTGCCTCAGTCACCACCGCTATGGATAGTCAGTCACAGGGCATCAAGAAGCTGCTGTAGGGGCCGGCCCCGTGGCCAAGTGGTTAAGTTCGCGCGCTCCGCTGCAGGCGGCCCAGTGTTTCGTCGGTTCGAATCCTGGGCGTGGACATGGCACTGCTCATCAGGCCACAACGAGGCAGCGTTGCACATGCCACAACTAGAAGGACCCACAACTAAGAATATACAACTATGTACTGGGGGGCTTTGGGGAGAAAAAGGAAAAAATAAAATCTTAAAAAAAAAAAGAAGCTGCTGTAGGCCGCGAAGTGGGTTTCCCAAAATGTGTCCAAGGCCTGCAAGCAAAAGAACCGGAGGCTGAAGCAGGTCAAAGAAACTCAGGCTGAAATTGAACAGTCCTGCCTACAGAGGGAGAAAGCGTTCAAGGCCAAGGAAGCTGCAGCTCTGGGGTCCATGGTAGTGGGAGCACCAAAATGGAGGAGACCCAAGAGAAGATGACCATCCTCTAGACCTACTTCTAGCAGAACAGGGATGAAGTCCTGGATGACCTCTTAGCCTTTGTCGGCGATATCTGGCCAGAAATTCATGAAAACTGGCATATAAATGGATAGGGGAAGAAAAAAGAGTGCCCATTTCATGGACTGGCATTTTAGTGGCCTTCACGGAATATGAAGTTTAGCAGAGCTTGAGTTATATTCTTGTGAAAAGGAATTAAACTATTTTTATATATTACATATTAGGTGGCCCTTCACTTTCTGGAGAATAACAAATCTAGCTTCTTTGTAAAAACTCAGCTTATCAAAAATTTCATTTTTTATCTCATATTTCTTTAAAATCTAATGGATGTACATTGTCTGCTTTCCTATGTCTTCTACTTTAAGTAACATATTTGTCAATACTTTCTTTCTTAACTGTAGTTTTAAAAAAATAATAATAACAATATATTGAAGAAAGAAAAGGATTAAATTAGTTTTCCCCTAAAGCTTTCTCAAAAGTCAGGGGTTTTGCCTATGAAAAAGTAATAAATAGTTATTTGTAATGTATTAAGTGCAGCCAACCTTAAAATAGGGTTAGAACAATACATACTAATATAATTGTTTAAGCTGTTTTTAGTTTCTCTTAATCAAAATTACTAAATGATAGAATTCAAGAACTTGTTACATGTTATTACTTGATGTATCAATAATCATTTAAAAGTAAAGACTCAGGCCGGCCTGGTGGCGCAGTGGTTAAGTTCACACATTCCACTTCAGCGGCCCAGGGTTCACCCATTCGGATGCCAGGTGCAGACATCACACGGCTTGGCAAACCATGCTGTGGTAGGCATCCCACATATAAAAAGTGGAGGAAGAGGGGCACAGATGTTAGCTCAGGGCCAGTCTTCCTCAGCAAAAAGGAGGACTGGCAGCAGATGTTAGCTCAGGGCTAATCTTCCTCAAAAAAAAAAAAAGTAGAAGCTTTATCACATAAAAAAAAATAAATTTTTTTATTAGGAGATAGAGCCAGTATATAATCTAGTGGTTCAGAGTACAACTCTGGTGCCAAACTTTCACTTACAAACTCTGTGACCCTAAACAAGTGGTCACATTATTAATTTAATGAATGGTTAAAATTTAAAGAAGTTATAGTTGCTGTAAGGATTACATGAATAAAACGTTAAAGGAGGAGTTAAAGTCATTATAATTACAGAACTAGTGAATTTTTATATTGAAGAAAATTATTGAGAATAAATATACATATTTTTTAAATTACATACGAAAAACAATGTAAAAATTCAAAAGCAGAAAAGGTTCCTACCCATTGTGATGAAAATAAACCATGCACAGTCACATCAGCATGTCTCTTTAACAAAGAAACCAACAATCTCTATACCAGTTCTGATCTATCAAATGGAAATACTTCCTAACTTATTGCAAAGAGAAAACAAAAGCAAAATACAATGTTCTAAGTTGTGTGTACAAAAGAAAGAAAAATAAGCATATTCTCATTTACTTGTATATACATAAAGGACCCTCTAGAAGGATATACAAGAAATTAGATAAAATTTTAAATACATAGCTACATTCAATAACAAGAGTATAATTTTTGTGGGTCAGGAACAGAGGCAGAATCTAGAGTAGTAAGTGGGCACTAAGGCCCCCAGGAAAAAAAAGACTAGAGTAATGTAGGCTAAAACTCCAAAGTTCCAAGGGTCCAGCATTCCAATTATGGGGCAGAAGACCAGAAACAGCCTCCTTGCTGGAATTGCATCCACTCAACACCTACCTATGTCCTATGGAGGGAACAGAGGTACCCTGAGAATGGAAACTGGGCCTACATAACCCATATAATACACATAGTATGGTCCAGGCTGAGCTATTCACATAAAGTAAAAACTCAAAACTCTAATGAAACAGCTGGCCTAGACCTATGCCAGCCAGAGGGTTAGGCTACAGCAACTCCAAAACCACACAAAAGGGACCAACTCCTATCCAACATGAGCTCTCAACCCAAAATTATGATACACTTGTGGAAAATTACCACCATGAGCCACACCAGCAAACACAAGAAATAGGAGAAGTACACCTGAAGAAATTTTTTTTAATGAAGAATCTTAAATTTTTTATCTCTTTGAGCATACCTAATATACTTTAAAAGTGGGACTAAAAGAAGAATAGAAGATAATTAATTAAAAATTCAATAGACAGGATAAACAACAGAGTAAAAACAAATGAAGAGAGAGCTCAGGCATTGAAAATTACCTAGAACAGAATACAAATTAAGAAATTAAGCAAAGAGGGAAAAAAGCTAAGTAGGGAAGATAGGCTCCAACATTGAAATAATCAGTTTCAGAAGGAGAAAACAGAAGTGAAGGAAATATTTTTTAAAAGATAATGATTGAAATTTTTCTAAAATTCAAGAAAGATGATTCCCTAGGTTGAAAAGTTTAATACTGCCAAGCAACATTTAAAAAAATCCATACCTAAATATAGTATGGCAAATTGCAAAACATCAAGGAAGAAGAAAAAAAAATCTTAAGACTTAACAAGCTGAATGTAAAATTTGACATAACAAAATGTAGAAAATAGAAAAAGAATTTAGAGGGAAGTTAAAGTATTTGTTTTGTCAATGAGGATAATAGAAATACTAATTAAGTTTAAAATTTTATAGAAAAAAATATTAAATTATGGGTTTAAAGGTAAAATTGGAGGGTTAAAAACATGCATTCTTATAATCTCCCCCAAAAATCCACAGAAAATTACTGTTTAAAAAGCTATAAAACTTTATGAACAAAATAAATGAGAGAAGAAATAACATCTGGAAAACAGACAGATAAGTAGTACATGACATAGCAGACACCAGAAAATTGAATTCTAAGCTGGTATTAAGGATGGCTGATTTAAAATCTAGAACCCACAAAACACAATACTAAGTACATTTGGAAGTAATGGGTATTCTAAAAATAAGATTGATTAGAAGACTTGGAGAACATCTAAGACTGTGGCTTCCCTAATCCCATGTCAGAGAGATTCCTCCTTCTATCTTCTGGAGAGGGTAAAACAGAGGCTCTCTAGCCTGGGGGCCACCAGAGTACAGTTGAAAGTGGAGGTACCATATTGAAAATAGGAGAATAAATGAATTCTTAAATCCTAAATGCTGAACACATGCTACTCTCTTCCTTTGCCATGCTCCCAGAAACACCAGCAACTAGGCCTATGGTCTCCCAGAAAAAGACTAGAAAATCTTTCTCTGGGCAATCTATCACCCTTACAGAAAAGACCTAAAGACACCAACATGAGAGGTTTCCCAATTAAAACAGCCCATTTGGAGAATGCATTTACAGGCTCAAGAGTTTCAAACAGCTTTCCACAGTTCCCCACTCTTAATTGTGACAAGATATCTGAGAAAAGCTTCTAACACTAAACCACATCAAACAGAAAATATGCAATGAAAACTAAAGAGAGATAAAAAAGCTGTCATTAATATCCTCAGGGAGCTAAGACATCATATCCATGAAATAAGAATAGGATGCTATAATAAGGAATATTCATAGCGCAAAAAATAACTCAGAAATGTAAGATATGACGGCAGAAATGAAAAACAATAGAAAGAACAGAAGATAAAGTTAAGAAAAATCTCTTCCAAAAGTGAAACATCAATACAAAGAAATCAATAGAACATAGGAGGGAAACAAAAAAAAGGATAGCCCAGGAAGTCTAACAGATTAGGAATTCCAGAAAGAGAAAAAACACAAAACAAAGGGGGGTAAACAATTAAAGAAATAAATTAGGGAAAATTTTCAGAACTTAGACAAGAGCTTCCAGATGAAAAGGACCCAACACAGTGGATAAAAACAGACATACAACAAGGCATATCTTTATGAAATTTTAGAATACAAGGAAGATAATACAAGCCTCCAGAGAGGGAAAACAAACAACAAATAGGTCACATTCAGAAGATCAGGAATGAAAATGGCTTTAGATTTCTCAATGGAAGCTAGAAGGTAAATGAGCAATTCCTTCAGATTTCTGAATGAAAACTTTTTCAAACCTATGAATCTCTACCCAGGGAAAATATCAATCAAGCATGACAGTGAAATTAAAACATTTTCAGATCAGCATTGTCTAAAACAATTTTGTAATGGAGGATGTGCTCTAACATAACCGAGGAATAAACCAAGAAAGAGGAAGACAGGGCAGCCTGATGGCACAGCAGCTAAGTCCGCATGTTCTGCTTCAGCGGGCTGGCGTTCGCTGGTTCGGATATGGCACCACTTGGCAAGCCATGCTGTGGTAGGCATCCCACATATAAAGTAGAGGAAGATGGGCACAGATGTTAGCTCAGGGCCAGTCTTCCTCAGCAAAAAGAGGAGGATTGGCAGATGTTATCTCAAGGCTAATCTTCCTCAAAAAAAAAAACAAAAGAAAAGAAAGAGGAAGACATGATATCTTTAATCTTACACAAAAGAGAGGCAAGCATTATAGCAAAGGGTATTTGCAGGATGTAAAGCAAACAGCCCAGGAGGCCTCAGGAGAGATTATTTTTCAAGAAGATGAAATTATGTAAGACCACTCTTTCCAGGATCTTTCTCTTTCTTGGTTTACACCTCTGTTAGCTGGAGGACTGATGTATCTCAACATAGAGTGGAGATTTGAATA